CTGTTACGCCTCCTTCGGATAAGTCGCCGTTTGTGTGCTACTGAAGTCAAACCTGAATCGCTATTGTGCCTGAAACACTGGACATAATTGATCGAGAAGATTACAAAAGTTACATTGCGGTGTTTGATTTGCGACTGCGAGGCGGCCAAATATGGACATCAAATACTATTGTCTAAAAAGATAGAGAACTTTTCTCTGAAAAAGTTCTCTATACTAAGTGGCCCACCTGGCAAACATAAAATTTTGAGTCGTCGTTGTCTCGAACTAAAGGTGATGCTTTGATTAGTCACTGTGGGCGAAGTTTGACGACGTCATATTAGACTAGGCAGTAGGAACTTACGTGAAATTTGTCTAGTACTTGCAACTTTGAGATTGAGGTTGTTAGAGGTATGCAAACATCAGCCACATTCCTTGTGTTTTCTGGTTATTCAGAGATACTCGCTAATAGACGTATAATTCGCTAGCATACAATACACCAGCACATCTCCGAGCCATTACACAAGTAGGAGAGGTAGTACAGTATGTAAGAACAAGGAATTCGTCCTGTGAATCCATCTGCACTTCAGATTCACGTAGTATTGTTTGGTACTCACTGAATCTCCCACCTGCACTCTTAAAATGATTTCTTTGTCGCACGGTTAACTTGCCTAGATTATCTTGACTGAGACAAAGCCTTGAAAAAACGAGCAATGAGGAAGGAAGCCTAAGTTGTGCTAATTTATAGGCATTTATTTTGTGAAGACTAGTGTTTGTAGTCAATGGCCTGCTTTGAAAATGAGTCAATAATGGAAAAACCCTCATAGAATGAAAACGAACTCTGCCAAAGTTCGATTGCCAAAAATCCAGGTGACCATTATAAAAGCATATAAGACCGCTATTAAAATCTCTACTGTCATGTAAAGCTTCTTGGACTCGTCTACGGTGTAGTTGTAGGTTCTTTGATTACCTTACGGTGGTCTCTAAGCACTTCTAAGTAATTTTCGAAATAAACGCGTGAAGAACAAACCAGGCAGATTTTTTGAAACGATACTAACCGATCTAATGCCACATTTAAAAGCATTAAAGACGAAAAGAAACAGCGGAACAGTGGCAATAATCGCAAGTAAACGCGAACATCTTGGCGTACCAGATGGTCTTTGCTCCTCAAAAAAATCCGTTTGCTGAGCAAGTGAGGTTCAAATATAATCTAAATTTTCATACATTTCCTTCTGCACTATTGCCAAAGAGTTCTAAAAGCTCATGGTTCATGGTGACTGTGCATGAATAAAAAAACGGCGACTTCAGCTCTTTATCCAGACACAATGAGATGATTCTTCTTTATGTGATCCAAATTTTTGATCTAGATATTTTTGCACTTTATTCTACACAAAAACTGGGTAATTGAAACCGGCTCAATCTCGTACATTTATTAGAAAAAAACTGCATCAGTTACACATTATAGGAAACAACCATGACGTAAGTGCGAAGAACTACGCAGCACGTCGCCAAGCGATATCAACGCAATAAATACGTTGCATATGCTTCGCAGAAATCTTAAATCTTTTCAGAAGTTGACGAGACGTTCAATCTATATTGAATACAATAGAAAAATTATGAAGGTCGGAACCCAATTCAACAGAGAAGACTTATAAGACGGGTGCTTCGAACGGAACTACCACAGCACTTACTTTGATCGTATGGTGACATAGATAATGGACACGTTTCCGATAACGCTGGTGGATGGAACTACAATGTAGAATATCTAATGCCTAAATGGAATAGGGTAAGCGTTCATGATCACAGCTGAAATAATGGTTTCAACGAATGGAAGAATGGCGAAATATGGTGTTGTCTATCAAAAGTGGCAACATACAAGGCAATTCGAGATTTCGGGGTAAGAAGGAGCTACTTGGCGAGTTTCTTCATGCCACATTCGTTGAAAAAAGTTTTCATTGATACTGAAAGACAGGTGAAACGAAGGACGGGCACGGTGTGTTGATGAACGCATTAACCCATAGGGAGGGCAATAGCGCGTTCGTTCTCCACCCCAGATTCCTGCGGTCCAGAGTCCTGCAAATATCTCAACATCATTGCGGTTGGATCACACATAATACCCTACCGTGAAATATTGTATTAGGCAGTAGATAAAAAGTTAACGTTGTGACTTCGACTACAGCCTCAGCTTAATTGGGTTCGTTGCCGATTTGGGCTCCTCAGATCAATCTCTTTGGCGGATGATTGCCGTTGTCACTGATCGATAGAACTAGCTGAGATACAGGCAAAACGAAGAATCCGCATAATGAAGTGGTAAACGGTTCAGCCCCTAGAAAGGATAATGACGCGTTCGTCTTCCAGCGCAGACACCTCCGGTCCGGAGTGTTGCAAATATCATCATTGCGGTTATTTATTGATAATTACTTTGATGGTTTTGGTTGAATTCAAATAAAGATCATGGTTGTTTTTGTGTTTTTTGTTTTTTCCTGTGTTTTTTTTGTGATTTCCATTAGAAAAACAAGCGTTAGTAGATGTCTCTGCTGGATCCTTAACTACCTGGTGACGGCTAGGAGTTGTTAGATTGAGAGAGGTCAAAACAAGAAGGCAAAAATTACGCATGGATCTCTAAAATCAAAAAATTTTTGTTCATCTAAAAAGATGTGGACGTGGAGTCAATTTTCACTAGCCTCGATAGTTTTAAGATTGTCTTAATTCGTCATATATTCAGTCGAATCCCATATGAGTTATCGTATTGTCCACGAAGCAAGCGCTGCATACATCATTGGCGATTTAATATGCGTATATATATACATATACATACATATGTGTATAGATATAGCCATCGCGGTATTGAACATCCCTGAAAGTTTTCACTTCTGAGATTTCATGATGAACTACTATAAACAAATGGCAATGGTGAGACCAAAAATCATTGCCTTCGAGGCGAAATCGGAAAAAACAATTCAACGTACCACTTAACTATAGCAATACAGCTCTATAAAAACAAACTCTATGAGGGCCGAAATTAGTTACGAGTTCATGTCAGCTTATTAGGCACATCATTAATTATTGATGAATGTATAGGTGCAAAGTCAAAGTCGAAGAACGAACAGTCTTCTAATGTTCTATCATAGTACTACGCAGAGAAATAAACTAGCGTGAATAGCTCGACTCAGCCTTGGTCGCAAATGGTCAGCGAATGAAATTGCTGGAGCACAAATTTTATAATAAACATTTCGGTGGTGTCTTCTTCAGGGTAACAAGGATTTGTCTAAAAATTCTGTAATTCTAATGATGCTGGATGTTATACAAAGAGTATTTGTAGTTCGTAGAATTTCAAACTTGGTCATAATTTTGTCGATAAAAGAATAGGAGATAAAGCGTCGACAGTGATCATTATCGATGCTCTATGCATTCAACTTCATCCCAAGGGCTGTAGAGGTGAAAGAACGAGTATTTTGCGAATACAATGACTCTACTAACAGTTAATCTAGACATTGTTTCTGTAGTACTAAAGAAGGCGAGCACCGATTCGTCGTCCCTCACCGCAAGAGCAGGCAAAAAAGTGGAAAATATGGTAAGGTCTAAACACCTAATGAGAGCTGATCATTCAAACATATAACTACGTCACTAGATAGTTACATTGAAAGCTGATACCACTCATCTATGAGCCTGCACTCTTTTGATTCATTATTGTTTGAGTTCGTCTTCATCACCAAACCTATCTTTATTCACTCATTCCGGTTTCGGGTACCCCTGTTATGTCGAAAAAAGCAAGAGCCCAGTTGTCGCACTGCAATATAGGCTTTTACTCCAACTTACTAGCCTAAATCACAGTTGCACCACGAAATATTCAGGCCTTGAAGAAATTCTTCGATGCGCTGCCGAGCTATATGCATAGGTTTCAAGAGCTTAAGGACAGCAACTTGCCAACTTTCTAAGAAAGCCGATATCAGCCGAAACTTTAATTATTATGAAACAAGCTTTCAATTCACAACACGTGGTCGACGGCGTAATAAATTGGAAACGTGAAGATGCAACTGTGTGTTTTTTGAACTTCGGCAATCGTGTTGGTCTTGGTTCACCTGTGTCACCTGTAACCCCGTTGATCGTCGAGTGACTTACAAGCAATCACATAAATCCGAGTACTGGTGAAACTTTCTTCCGCCGTCACCTCACTTCATCCAAACGAGGCCATAAGTTTGCGAATATCCACGTAAAAATTTGATTTCCGTGTTTTGAACAGTTCAAAAACTTTCAGTGAACATCGAAGGTTTAAAGATTCAGCGAGCATTTCACCAATGAACACTTTGCTCTTTCAATGAAAACTAGCAAGCTACTTGAAAACTGCGATGGTTAATTGAGCTTAGATAAAGTCTACTAGAAAATTATCAATACGTCTTTCTGTATGATTTTTGATTAGTATGAGACAGCTAAGGTAATTAGTTATAGATAAGGCAACTGGCAAAATAACTTGACAGGCTCTTTCGTCATTTCACAGGCAACTATTGTTGACAGTCGTCCCTGGGTTCCACAATTCGTGCGTGCAACACAACGGTTCTTTTCAGCTGTCGCTATGAATCCCGACCCTATTCCATTTGAGTATCAAGCGTTCTACATAGTGATTCCATCCACCAGCGTCATTGGAAATCTGTTTATCATCTACGCTACCATACGATCAAAGTAAGTGTTTCTGTATCAAGAGATTCACTTAGGATGCCGTTCAACATTCTGTTGAATGGGTTTCTAACTTCTCCAATTTTCGCAGTCGTATCAGAAACTTTTAAATCTCCTGTTTATTGGGGAAATATTGAAGATCCCTCCGCAGCATCTGCAACATATTCATTGGATTCATATCACTTGGTGACGTACTACACAGTCTCTCGCACTTTGTGATGATCATTTCCTATAACATGTAAGTTCGACGTCCTTTACCAACGAATGGCAGAAGAATAGAGCCGCCATGAATTCAAATACGAACTGCCTACTTTTCTTGTATAGAATGTTGTGTAAGTGTACATAGATGGAAAAACTGGGTCACGCC